TGGCACGGGTTAACCCTTTCCGTCTCCTCTCCGAGCCTCCTGCGCGACGCCAGACCGGCCAGCGGGGAAATGTGTGAAATTCAGATGAGGAAGGCGTGAATGTTTTATGTGGGGGAAAGGCGTTTTTCGCGTGCCTGCCTGTGGCTGTGGGGGGGGGCTCTCCGGGAAATGCAGCGCTGTGCAATTACTGATCTGGGCGTGTTTCCTCACAGTGTTTTGGCAGGGCAGTAGTGTGCGGATTTAAAATCAGCTGCGCGTAAGTTTGTATCGCTCCTGTTACGAAAAGTGCCGGCTTGTACCTGCCAAAGTGGGCAGATGTGTCCGCGAGCACATCTGGCTGGCAGGACGGGTCCACGCGGGTGAAGGATTGTTGCTCCCAGGATAACGGCTGTATGTGGGAAAACGCAACGTGCTTTAAAAAAAAAAAAATCTTCATTTATGTTTTTAATACAGCCATTCTTACTTAAAACTGCCACATAAGGCGTGGAAGATACTGCACGTTGTTCTACTTGACAGGCGTGAAAAATAATGCAACTTTTATTCTTTTGTACTCATCTCCTGCATGTAAGCTTCAAAGAGTGATTGCAGTTGGAGAAAGAAGAACGGTAGTGATTGAAAGTAGCTTTTTGAAATTTTTTTTTTTTAATCTTGTGCTTAAAATAAATGTTTTTAAAGTTTTGAAGTCTTCAGCTCCTTTTTGATATTTTCTTCAGAGAAGTTCACAGTAAAGAAGGTAATAACTAGATACTTCTGGTAGGTGACATATAGTTCTCCGTAGAACCCTAAATGGAAATTGGAGAATTGACACAGAAGCCGGCTTCAAATTTTACTTTTTTTCCAGTCCGGCATTTGTTGTTGAATTTAATTTTAAGAGGATGCATTGTTCGGCTTTGTCTTAATTTAAGTATAGAGATTTATTCTTAAGATTAAAGATGGGGACAATGGGAAGCAATTGCAGCTTATATACTTATAATCTTACTGAAAGTCAACTTTGAAGTATTTAATACAGCTATTCAAGTACCCTCTGATCATTTATTTTATGCCAGTTAGTTGTAATTTCTTTCTGTAGTATGGTTTGTTACAAACCTTATAAAAAAAAATGCTTATTATCTTTATGTATAGTTCACTCTCATGAACAAATTGGATTTTTTTTCCATGAGTGAACTATAATATGAAATTTAAAGTTCTGACCTTTCTTATGCTAGATTACTGAAAATAGTATGATTTAGCTTTTCTAAAAACCCAAGCATATTTTGGTGTTGGTTTAACGTGTTGTTTTATATTGTAGCTTTTAATTGCGAAAAGATAACATTAGACATGTAATTTCGCACTACTTCTTAATTTATGCAGATGCTGAAGTTCTTGCTGTGTAAAAGAAAAACTGAAGTTTTTTTTCCTGAGAGCTTTGATGGCTAGCATTCTTGTTAATGACAGTCATTTCTCTAACAGGAAGATGTTTTCATTTGTATTTACTTTTCAGTGCAGGGCAATTATGCTGCTCTGTATTGCACACTCCTCGTATTTTCTGTCTCAAAAGAATTACAGTACTTGGAACAGGACTGCAATTTGAAGCAGGTGTTGTGTTTTACTGTTATGCAAAATAACACTAAAATATAATTGTAAGGGAAATTAAGGAAACAGCTGCAAACTTGGTATGGTAACCACTACATTATGATTTGCGAGCAGTTGTTGCACGCGTCTTGCGTCACGTCTAACACAGCAAAGGTTTGGTTTAGTAAAGCTCACCTTGCTTTAGTTTCACTCCTGAAACTATTGCGCTTATTCTTATGAGAAGAGGTTAGTGCAAAGACCAGGCCATAACCTCAGTTACGGAGATGTGCTGTCTCACTAGCGACTCGGTTTTTGAATGGGAACTGAATGGTTTAGTTTCTTTTTTTTTTTTTCTTTCCTTTTTTTCCGTCTCCAGTGCTAAAGAAGATGAAGGATAGAACCCAATTACTGGAATGAAAGTTGTAGAACGTCTTAACCCAACTAACATATGGAAGCCTACATAGGCCTGAGGTTGTAAAATAGTAAAATAAATGGCCTATAGCAGGCCATCTGCCATTTGCAGGGCATTTTTATCGTGCTTCGTGCCAAACTGGAAATTAGTCTTTATATTAAAAATATATTTTGAATACAAATCAAAGATTCCAAATGTTTAATGTTACACATGGCAAACACATTTCTATCTGGGAGCTAAGAGAAGTCCGGGAATATCACACCGGAAAAATACTGCGTAGTTTGATACCCAGGACTCAAGTCACTGTCTTCTCTTTCCTATCTCTTTGTCTTCTCCGTGAGCACTGATTTGCTTTCCTAAATTACACACATCAGATATGACAAATCCGTTATTGCTTGTCGCAGCTAAAGGGGGGGAGGACCAACTGATGGGAAGCGTCATGATTTCATGTAAGTCCTTGCAGCTAGGATAGCATGTCTCAGCTGAGCTTCTTCATCATGAGTAGGGCTTTTAAAGAGCTGCTCATCTTGAAAGTATTCTTCGAACATCAGCTGATCAATATTCACAAAGTCCCTCGGAAAGAACGGCAGCTGAGGTATCCTCTGTTTACTGATTGAAGAAACTGAAGCTCAGATTCTGTGCAGGGAACTCAAGAGATGAGGTTTGGGAAGGTTCTGGCTATTGGGCTTATGCTCATACTATAGAATGCTGCCAGCCTTCATGCGAAATGTGTTGAAGAGCACTTTGACGAAGTGAAAGATAGGGACGCATAGAGAGGGAAGAGTGTACTTCTTTCATCTTATGCAGAAATATTTATGCATAAAATTGCACTTAAATCTGTCAGATAAATCTTTACTGCCTGGTAATTAATCCAAACCAGTTTTGTTGCTAGTGCACTGAAACATGGATATTTTCTTAACGTTGTCTAGATACTGGCCTTTCTCTGGACAGATAAATATTTGAGTCAAAGGTATTTGGGTGTACTTTTGCTGTGCGGTTGTAAAATTTTCTGCTTTGCATCAACTTCTCATAAGACTCTTAGATGTAACTTATTTTTTTAAGCTAATATAGGGCCTTGAAAACAAGTGTGCGTATTTGTGGAAAGCCATTTGTCCTTCAGGAAAGTGGGTCCACTTGTTAATTGTCATGGTTGCAATTAGCACAAGATGCTATTTCAAATAAAGAATAGTAAATGCAGAGTATTTAACTGGAGCTTTCAACACAGATATTTTTTTTTTCCCAAAGATAAAGCCTTATTTTAAGCATTCATCCTTTGGATGTATGTAATGATGATGTAGTTAAATGATGAGGTAATTAAAAAAAATTTGTGAATAGTAATGCTTAGAGAGTCGGGTGATGGGTACATCAGAAATGCGGAAATAGATCTCTTAATGGAAGTCAGGAGAGGGTAGAGTGATGTGTCTGTGTACGCTTACATCTCCTTTGAGTTTATGGCAGTGTGTGCTGTCTTTCTCTCCTGGCAGAGGCCCGTGGCGTTGATGAGGAGCTGCTTGGAGTTGGGAGCCGCCTGGAACACAATGCCCTACCCTGCTCCTGGCCTTGGGAAGTTGTGAGCTGCTCATGTCCATAAGGAGGAAGGATGGCTCATGGAATTCCTTCACAAGGCAAAGTTACCATCGCGGTGGATGAGTACAGCTCCAACCCAACGCAGGCCTTCACACACTACAACATCAACCAGAGCAGGTTCCAGCCTCCGCACGTGCATATGTGAGTATTCCTGACGTGGCCTTCGTGTGCCTCTGCGTGTGTGTTGCAACTGAGCACGGCTGCCGAAGGAGTGGGTGCAAAACTGGGAAAACTGGGTGGTCACATTAGCTGATAGGCAGAATGGTTATCGGATTTCTTGCGTGGCGTGTTTGAGAAGCGCTGCTCCATCGGCTCCTGGAGAGAAGTCTTCCCGCAGTGCCACCGCCTTGGCGCAGCTTGCTCCAGCGCTTGCCTTCTCTGAAGCTGGTCCCTTCACTCGCCTGAGGGACCCAGGGCTTGAAAATTTAAGCTCCCTTCCCCCAGCCTTTACACTCAGCTGCGAAATAGGCCTAATTGGGACTAATTGTACACGCACACCCCCCC